AATTATTGAAAGGGCTGAGGCGCAGGAAATTCGCTCTCTTTATGGAGATTCAAACCCTTTGCGGTTAGGCAAAGCCTTACACCAGTGCAGCAGAAAAAACCTTGACTTGTCCCCCTCGGGATACAACAGCCCGACTAAGCCGTATGGTTAACTAATACTGCACAATTGGTTGAACCCAAAGCTTTATCACACACACCCTTTTTATTTGCCTGATAATCTCACACTAGACATAACAAAGGAACAAAACTTCTAAGGAACAAAAACTTCTTCTCTCGTGTCTATTTAAGATATAACATATGTTCAAAATATATAGAAAAGAAAACTTAATAAGCAAGGTTCTTGGTGGATAAGATAACAAGAGACTTGATCAAGACCTTGGAATGGATAGGAATGAGAAGACTTGAAGAAGACTTAGATGGATAAGTCTAGCAAAGACTTGGAGAAGACTTGGATAGATAAGGCTAGCAAAGACTTGGATGGATAAGGCTAGCAAAGACTAGGCAATGACTTATCTTGGAGCTCGGAAGATCATTATAATATTAAAATACCTGCTAACAAATAACATTAATATTCTAGCAATTTTCAAGTGTTGCTTGTTCAATGTTTTTACTCAGACATTTAATTTCCATCAGAGGAAAAGTAGTTGAGTTATTGGTGGAGCCAGTTAAGTGTTAATTGAATTATGTCATTCATCAAAAGAAATAAGTTGACAGTCAAAGAAGCGAAGTTGAAACATTTGAGGCTCTAAGAGATAGGGTTTCTGGATCTATTTATCTAGCAATAAGAATTAGAGAAAAAAATTGAGAAGATTCCAAGCACCAGATTGAAAAGCTAAAGGAGTTCATATGAAGGGCTAAAGAGTTTCTGAAAGATGGAACTAATGAGATTGAGTGTTTAAATAGATGGTTTTCTGATTTGGTCACATGTTGCCATCTAGGAAAAGAAGCAAAAGAGAAAACAGGGGAGCCTAAAATGCTATACAAAGAAGGCAATTTTAATAACATATCCACTCTACATATTGGGGATAGAATTCATACCCTCTGAAAGACTCGTAACTTGTGAGACCACAAATTTGTTCATTTTTAATGGCAACCCCATTTTCATCGAAAACATGGTATTGAGCGGTGTTGGAAAGACAACTTTGGTAAGAAAAATCAGAGAGAGAACAAAAAAAAAAAAGAAAAAATGAGAGAAAAAAAAAAAAAAAAAAAAGAAGAAAAAGAAAAAAAAGAAGCTAAATAAGACAAGCTTTTTTATGAGATGATGGCTATAGTGTCTTGGTACCCAGACATTAAAAGTATTCAAGATCAAATAGAAAACATGTTAGGTTTGAGATTAACTGATTGGCCAAATGAGATTGAAAGATCAAATATATTATGTGCAAGACTCAAGGATGTGAAGAGGATCATTTTTATATTGGATGATGTACTCAAAAACACTGCTAACCATGTCATTGAGCTTTTATCTGTGAAACTGCATCAGCATGCAAGGAAGGTAAGGTCCTTTAAGTGAGTGGGCAACCCAATTGGGAGTCTCATACTCTCGTTACACTGTGCTTATATAAAAATGCATTGAATGGAGCTGTACATTTTTCTGAGGAAAAGTATAGAATATTGAAAGGAAAAGGAAAAGAGAAAAGAGGAGCTGGTATATTTCTTTGCCACCTTTCTTCCCTAGAAGAAAAGAATCAAACATTGTGCTAGATACATCAAACCAAGAAAAGAATGTTTTCCCTCTTCTTAAACATATGTAGATGTATATTGATATCTCCATCTCCATTGTGAAGCCTACAGCAGCAGTTGTCTTCCGATTAATTGTTTACAGAAAGAGAAGCACACTTGAAATTCTAACTTCCCCTATGTCAATAATTTATGCTCTACATGTTATCATTTTAGTTGGTTCAGGCTTTTGTGTATGTTTATATTGATGTCTCCATCTCCCTCTCCATCTCCATTGTGAAGCTTGCAGCAACAGTTATCTTTCTCCTTCATTGTTTACAGAAAGAGAGGTACGCTAAAAATTCTAACTTCCCCAATGTCAATAATTTATGCATCATATACAATCTCTATACGTCAGCCTTTTTTTTCCTACTTGGTTTACGGTTTTGAGTGAGTTTACATGTACAACTATTTTTAAGAGATAAAAAAATTGATTATGCCAAATGTTAGGTCTATATCCAATTTACTCGTCTCAAACCCCCATCAAACGGGGGATTAAGCTTGATTTATTTTTTTGACAACTACATTTTGTGTTGGGACACATGAATTTTGAGCAAATAAATGATATCAACTTTCATAGCTCCTAGCTAGGGTACATGATTTTCTTGGCAACAAAAGCAAGGGAACAGCAGAAGGAAAACTTATAGTCTTTTAAATGATTTAAGATAGCTGCTACAGTGTAAGCCCTAGAAAAGGTGCATATTATGTACACCCTCCTTACCACAACATGCATGATATTACCACAACATTTCATAACAAACATCACAAGAAGTTGTAATTTTTTTCTCCAAAAGGATTCATAATATTTCTCACCATAAATGGTTAACAGTATATGATATGTACATATATGATTCATTTCACCACAAAAAATTGCATTGTCTCTCTTTTTAAGGATGCACACCATAGATTTCTTCAAGATTTAAAACATTTATGATTTTAATTGTTTATTTAGAAAATGTGCGCATTTGATTTTGTTGTTGAAAACAATTTTCTAGTCTCAAAAAACAAGAAGGAAAAAAAAGTAAAAAGAAAACTCATTTGATAAACTATTTTCAAAATCTTTTTTCGAAAAACACCTTTTGAAAACACCCCTTTCTAGAAAAAGTTAAAAAATAAAAAATAATTAAATTTTGAATTCTCAAAAACAGGATTTAGAAATAAAATGAGAGTGATGGCTTTTCAAACTTCTCGTTATTATTTTATTATTATTATTTTGAAAACATAAAAAAAAAGATAAAACAAATACAAAGAGTGAAAACAAAACAAAACAATCTGCGAAAAAAAATTCCATTAAAAGGACATGGGGTTTGTCAGTTGTAGAAAGCTACCACATCAAAATTTAACCACTAATAGGAATCACTACATTATAATCCCATAGGCAATATCTTATCTTCACTGCTATTTTTTTTTTGGCCAATAGATAGGAAAATTATATTGATGAAATCATTGGTCATTACAACCTACAACCCAGAGAAACTTCCATAGTAACCCAACTAGGATTGATTCCCACCCAGGAATAGTGAGACCCCAAAGTTGGGCATACTTGGCTACTCTATGAGCCTTCCTGTTACAATCTCTAGAAACAAAACAAAAAGGACAATTTTGAATATTCGCAGCAAGTCACAAAGTATTGTCAATGATGATCCCAACTTGATTGTATTTCTTAGCACCAATCCTAGGTCACCTTTTGGGTAAGTAAGTGTTTAATTACCAAAACAAGAATATACAATCAAGCTCAAGACATTGTCCAAATGGCTCATGTAGACATAGCCAAGGTCGGGCAGGCCAAAAACCTCACAACAGGGAAAACAAATCGACTTCGCATAGAAAGCAGTGAGAGGCTAGGAATATAAAGTGAAAAAAATTAGACCTAATTGTGCTGGTTGCCATGATTGAATCATCACCTCTGCATTTGTGTCATGAACATACTCTTGCTAGTACTCTGCGGCTTACGGAACAATTTTGTCGAACTCTCTACATTTGTTGTTGAACACCTAATCATGGTTTTCCTAATAAACCAGCAGATACAAGCCAACAGATCTATAATTTCTCCCCTTTCTGGTCCCTTGATCAAATCCCCCATATTCTTCCACCAACTTGCAAACTCAATATTCCAAGAGATTTTCATGTACCATCCAAAATGGCAACAACTACCAAACCTTCATCAATGCTTTAGGACATCTTAAACTCAGATGGATAACAGTTTAAGGCTCCCGTCCACATACTGCACACATTTTGCCAAATGGAACTTTCCTTTAAGTTATTTCCAGATGAACATTTTTTATTTTATCTTAGAGTCTTCCAATTCACCAGTTGTCCATCACTGCCACTAGCTCTGTTGATACGATAATGTTTTGGCAACAACATACACTGATCTAACAGAGAAGAACCCATCAAGAATCACTGCATCCCTTTGTAATTTTTTTTCCTACTCTCACAGTGTCAACTTTCTATTCATTTTTTCCTTCATCAATAAGATCAGCAACTTTAGATACCAGGCAATCATTGGGCATTCTAGTTATGGTTCTAGGGTTCTAAGGATCAGATTGCCAAGGTTTGACCAAATCTGAGCTTCTTTTCCCATTAAAAACTCTATACCGCCAACCTATTTCAATAACTTTCCTCCCCTCCAACAACCCATGCCAAACCCAAGACGAATTACTCATCGCCTTTCCCTCCATAAAGGAGCCATTAGGGAGAATTTAGCTCTATAAACCCTCTGAAAGAGTGATCCACGGCTATTACCTAAATAATTAAATAGCTCTAAATTGTGCCAAAAATAGTCCCATATTGTCCAAGTTAAAAAAAGAAAAACAAAGAAAACTCAGCTTCAATATTCATCACAAGACAAAATAAATAATTAGTTAAAAATAAACTAGTAGACAAATAAATTATCTATATATCACCAATTTTTTCCTCACCATGTTATATCAAGGATTCAAGGGATACATGGTAAACTATTATTCGGCTTCATTATTTATTTAATACTTATTTTTAAACAAGGAACCAATCGTGAGTATCTATGTAAGCGGTGATACAAAACAATCATAAATTTCAAAAATCAAGAAAACTGTGAATTTCCCAATTGGGTTTCTGAAATCAATGCCCCCCCTTTGAAAGCTTAGATATCTTTACTACCACCATCCCTCCTAAAGCTCTATAATTATGTTTACATTATCTAATTATTAAATTCTATATGTTTAATTTCCAGCCAATGGAAAGCCAACTTTGTTAATGGGGTTTTTACCAGCTCAATTGCATTGTGCAGTTTCCATTGGGGAACAAGAACGTATATTTTTATGTTAGTACTGCATCACATAATATAGATTATAATTACACAAGACAAGTGAAATTCTACCTCAATTAATTGTGAAAACAAAAACACATTTTAACTCAGCACAAGTTCAACATTAGAGTATGGCCATACCAAATTGAAGGAAACTGCATGGATTGAGATGTAGACAATCTCAATAAGACAATTCATGCTTGTGACAGTGTATCCGCAATTGCGGTGGGAATGATCCACTTCCAACAGTGTTCCTTATCAGTCTGCAAACCAAACCACAATACAATAAATAAAAATAAAAATAAAAAAACTTTCAATCCAACAGGAAAGCTATCAAAGCATATAGCAATATAACTACTTTTAAGCAAGTCAATACTCAAATACTGGATTCAATTGTCACTAGATACCATCATTAGTTGAATTTGGTCCAAGAAAGCCCATAAACTCGAGCACATTTGGATGGAGGAGCAATTAATCATAGAATGGAAACAAATTAGTTACCTCATTTCTAGCAATTGCTTTGTCCATAGCTTCACATAATCCCTTTGTATCCTGACCACAACATTGCAAAGTCAGCAACGTTTGGACTCAACACAGACCCCTGTCATAAAACAAATATAATCACAATGCTCCTTATTACAGGGCCTCACTGTCCCGGCATAAGCACAGCTAGTCTCCACAACCATCCAGATGAGATGTAATATCAGTAAAATAAGCATTTTTGATTTCTTAAGAGAACATTAATTATCATACAACACGAGAAGTAATAGTGTGTAGGATTCTATTATTTTGATTTCTTCTATCACTTTTTCTCTATGACTTTTTTGAGAGAAAGATTGGGGAAAGAATACACTACAGTGAGAAAAGCAGGTACCATGACAGATAGAGACAACAATGGCATAAACATTTTTAGAAGAAGTGGATCCAAACTATTTGAATATGGGAAACAGAATAGCACAAAAGCAAAGCAATATTAGTATAAAGATGTTATAAAAGATTTTAAGAAATACCTCAACAGGCCATCCATCCACCACAAATACATCCAAAGAATAACCACCAGTAGTTGAGAACACGTGTGCCTCACGGATGTAAAGTCCTTTGTCAGAAAACAAAGCAGAAAGCTAGAACAAAATGGTACAGAGTTAGAAGTCAACAGTCATGTAAAAAATAAAAAAACGAACAAAAAGAAAAGATAAGTCTACCAAATGGATGATAACGTCAACACACCTAATGAAGTGATGTGAGAAATCTATATATGAAAACACAGTCATCATCCACAAAATGGCATGAAATCAAACCCTAAAATCAAACCCATTTACAACATCAAACCCATAAAACTCTAGTAATGAAACCACTTCAAACAAACCCATTTCAGAAATGAAGGCAAAATTAAATTGAATGGGTAGAATAAACAACCAGAGAGAAAGAGTTCACAGTTGGGGAAATAGAAGGGGTAGAGAAAGAGAGTGAAAGAGAGAGAGACAGAGAGAGAGAAAGTGAGTGAGAGCGAGACAGAGAGCGATAGAGCAAGAGAGTGAAAGGGAGTGAGAAAGAGAGCGAACCTATTAGTGGCTGTGACGGTGCTGATTTACAGTGTACGGGGACCGACGGTGCTAAGGATGCGCGGTCATGGGGTTTGCAAAGAATTTTAAACTTGAAATAGATGTTGCAAGACAAGGTGACAACATAAATGACAAGCTCCACTGTAATTAAGCGACATTCAACAAACCAATTACATGACTGAAGCAAGTCTATTGCAGGCATCTCAGGTGAGGCCAAAGAATAAAAAGTTGGATTTTAAACTATTGAGCATAATGGTAAAAGATATATATAATAAGAATTTCAAGTTCCACAGATAAGTACCTCTTCCCCCAACAGTTTGACCCGCTTCCTTGCAATGGTAGTTCAAATAATTTGGACACTAACATGGGCATAATGATTGTGTCAAAAATTGTGCACTGCTATATGAAAAATAAGGGTACATTGATAAAGGAACTAGTAACGATAAGATTGCTAGGCTTGAAGTTAGCTTCTGTTACCAAACAAATTTAAAATTAAAATCACTTACCGGGTTGGTGGTTGCCCACCAAACTGATATAGAAGAGTTTGCTGTAAAGTCAATCGTTGCTAAAACAGAGAAAACTGAAGTTAAGAAAGAGATGGAATGAAGAAATAAAGAAACAACCCAACAATCGAAAATTAATCATTTTAGAAA